AAGGAGCGCTGGGCGCAGGCTCGGGCGGGCGGGGGTGCCTGCGAGCGTGCCCTGGCCACCTCTGCTGGCCGCAGGAGGGGGGGGGGAGCGCCTGTGGCCCGGACGGGCAGTCGGCCCCCGATGGCCAGCCCCGTCACCTGGGTGGGTGCCTGAGTAGGAAGGTGCCTGAGGCAGAAAGTGGAAGCCCTGGGAGGGCGTGGTCCCGCCCCGGGCTCGCGGGGATAGCTGCGCCCAGCTCCCCGTCTTGGCATCCGGACCCAGGACCTGTTGGCGTCTAGCTTCTGTGAGAACGGGCTCGGTCATGCGCGGCCCTTCGGGGTGTGCCCTAGGGAGGCTGCTGCTTCTGGAAGCAGCTCCTGCCGCCGCTCGGGTCAGGGAGACCTGGAGTGTGCTCAGCGGCTTCTGCATCCTTCTGCAGCTTGACGCTCAACACCAACCATGGGCATATTCTGGTGGATTACTCCAAGAACCTGGTGACCGAAGTCGTGATGCAGATGCTGGTGGACCTGGTAATGTTCTGCGTGGGAAGGCCTGACGGTGACCCATAGGGTGGTGGGTGAGCTGGACTCCCGAGAGCCCCCAGGACCTTGAGCTTCCTGCGTTTCTCCTCTCACTGGACCTCAGTAGCCACTTCTGTGTTGATGGAGGGCTCTGAGTGCCTATCTCTGGCTCAGGTTCTAAGCAGCGTCCCAGGGGATCCCCCCCCCATGTCTGAGCAGACCCGTCCCGGATGGTGGTCAAGAGGGAGCCAGGCTGCAGCCATCTGTCCGCCCCACTGGGTGCAGCACTAGGCCCTGTGCTTGGGGGCTTCGACTTGTGGTGGCAGCAAATATAGGGACCAGGCCTCAGTGTCTTTTCTTCCTAGGCCAAGTCCAGGGGTGTGGAGGCTGCCCGGGATCACATGTTCAGTGGTGAGAAGATCAACTACACAGAGGTGAGCAGGCTTGGTAGACACCTGGGGCCTCTTCCCTTTAGGGCTCACCTGACTGTTAGCAGTATCATTCTGTGTCTTCACCTCGTCTCTTAGGCCATGTTTTTGCTTAATGAAATGAGCAAAGGCGTTTTTCCTCGGGGTGGTTGCAGGGCTTTGGGGTGTGTCCCAAGATTGGCAGTCTAGATTTGGTGAGTTCTTAGAATGGCTCCCAGTGTCTGCTCAGGGAGGAGCACGTCAAGCCTGAAGGGAGAGGCTTTCTCAGGGCTTGCTCATTTTCTTGGAGAACTTAACTGTAATATGTCCTTGCTGCAAGTTCGATGAGTGGCAAGAGGAATCTTATGTTACAAAAGACTTCAAGTTCCTCAGTGGTAGGAGTCAACAGGAAACAGTGGTAAGGCCAGGCCTTGGGGGCCCAGGTCCTGACTTGCTGTGGAAGCCTGGAAGTAGAGTAAACCGTGAGCACTCAGTCTCTGCCCTTTTGCATTTGAAGAGTCTGAAACTCAGAGGTCAAGTCACTTATCCAACCAGGCGGAATGGGATTCGAACTCAACCTGCCTCGCACTGGGGGGCAAGGCTGAGAGAGGCTACAATCAGGGAGAGCTTCCTGGAGGGGTGCATTTGCCTATGGAACATGGGGCAGGAGTGGGGTGGCATGAGGCTCTCTACCTTAATGAGCCTCTTACCTGGTTGGAATGCCAAGATAATACTTTTCCTGCCCACCTGGGGTCTTTAGACCTTCCTTCCAGGACTCTTCTGCTGGCTTCGGCCGGATGGGGCCATTTCACTCACGTGACCAGGCCAGCTGCCCGGCGCCTGTCACAGACTTCAGGTCTGCTTTGGTTCCTGGCACCTGTTAGTGATGGGGCTGCTTGGTGAGGGAAGCTTGAGTTGCCTGGCTTGCTCCACATCCAAGGGGCTGAGGACACTGTCCAGATGGCGCCAGCAGACACCATGTCCTCTCTGGGGAGGATGAAGTTACTTCTAGCTTAATGAGCATTCGTCCTCTGAAATTTATTGCTCGTTTCTGACATGTGTTTTTACCATTCTCTTTGCTCACTGTTCTTTCTTTTGCCTTTGCTTACTGTTCCTCTTTCCTCTGGCTCTTCACGCCCTGAGTACCTATGGTAGACACTCAGGGCCTGTCCTAGGCATGTTCGGGTCTCTACCTCCGCCCCCTGCAGCACCATGACTGCCTGCAGCACATAAGGGGGCGGTCCATGCTTCACCTTCCTCAAAGTCCTTGGGTAGTTCCTACCCTGGGAAGCATACCTCGGGTCCTCAATACAGGACTGTGTAGTAACAGAGACTTCAGGGTCTGCCTGTCTAACAGACAGAGCGCTGAGCTGACTTCCAGGGCCACACTGCGCCATGCCCCCCCGGGAGTGTGACTGCCGTAGGGTGGGGGGCGGTTTTTACTCACTGACCCTTGTCCCCAGGATCGAGCTGTGCTGCATGTGGCCCTGCGGAACCGGGCAAACACACCCATAGTGGTAGATGGCAAGGATGTAATGCCAGAGGTCAACAGGGTTCTGGACAAGATGAAGTCTTTCTGCCAGGTAAGTGACTGGACTTACCCTTGGCCATGTTTGTGCAAGTATTTGGGAATCTGGGAGCCCCGATGGGCAGATCGTCCACTCTCCTTGGAGGCAGGACTCAGGCCGTCACTGCAGCCCGTGTGATTGCTGTCCCTAGGATCTCTGCTGAGGCCTGAATTTCCCCTGGCCCTGCTCTGAGGGAACCCACCATTGGCAGCAGTGGAGGCAGTCTCTGAATAGAGACACCTGTGGGCTCCTTGTGACATTCTGGCAGAGGCCTGAGATGTAAAGAGAAGCCCCCAAGTGCTGGGGTAGTGGGTAGGGAGAAGTGCTTTTTCTAACCTCTTTGGTCATATGCCCTTATCGCCTAGTCTAAAATCAGATAAAGTAAATGTTGTAAAAGTTCCTCAAGGGTGGGTGCAGTGGCACACGCCTGTGGTCCTAGCTATGCAGGAGGCTGAGGCAGGAAGATTGCTTGAGCTCAGGAGTTCAAAGCTGCAGTGAGCTATGATGATGCCAGTACACTGCAGCCTGGGCCACAGAGCAAGACCCTGTCTCTACAAAATTTAAAATAAAATTCCTTGACCCAATCCTCAGCTAACTCTCCAAAGGCAGGCTTTATGAGGTTTCCTGTGAAATATTGCAAGAATTTTCTGTGCATTTACTTGCATATGTGCACATCTGTTGTCTGGAATACACACACGCACACACACAGGTTCATTTTCTACCTACTTTTCTGCAACTTATTCCTTCCTGGTAATAGGTAAGAGACATCCCTGTGTCAGCACTAGTGCATATAACCATGCCTTCTCCTTTTCTTTTTTTCTTTTTTTGAGTTGGAGTCTCACTCGGTCGTCCAGACAGGAGTGCAGTGGCCACTCTCGGCCACCGCAGCCTCGACCTGCTGGACTCCGGCGATCCTTCCGCCTCAGCCTTCTGAGTAGCCGGAATTACAGGCACGCGCTACCACACCTGGCTGATTTTTTGATTTATTGTAGAGATGAGGTCTCGCCAAGTTGCTCAGGCAGTCCACTTACCTCAGTCTCCCAAAGGCGCAGGATTACAGGCTGAGCCACCGAGCCTGGCTCTCCTTTTCTTGAGAGAGAGAGAGAGAGAGAGAGAGAGAGTGTGTGTGTGTGTGTGTGTGTGTGTGTGTGTGTGTGTGTGTGTGGTGGGGGGGAGTGGGTTGCTTCAGAGACCAGCTAAGTGTCCCCAATCAAGTCCTGTTGCTTTAGTGTCTATCCCAAGGGTGATCCTGCAAGGTCTGGCAGACATCCTCAAGCCTAGAGTGTAAGGGTGATTGATGTCTGGGGGCCTGTGTGGGTGTGTGCCTGTCTGTCCATATGGGCTATGCATGTTCTGGAGGGCAATCATCTGAGCTTTTGTCAGCTTTGACATTCGCTGCTTATCCCTGAGACAAGTGGCCCCCCGTGTGACTGATCAAAGTCTGGTTGTTTTGGACAAGAGCCATCTTCAGACCTGAAATGATGCCAGCTATAGGAGGCGATCTTGGCGTCAATCCTAAAGGCCCAGCAGCCATGTGAGTGGGACTTTCTGGGGCTTGAGATCCTGCTGAGAATCTGGATTCTACAATATCCCTTAGGGTAGTGGGTCCATGTGAGGGGCTTAGAGCAGGGCGTTTCCAGCCACCTGCTGTGAGTGGGAGTGCCTCAGAAGCCTGGAGCTGTTTGGTCAATATCAGACATGCCATGTGGAGAATGTGGCACAGACTGGGGTGCTGTTTCCAGGAAAGCCCTCCCTTGAAGCTGCCACCGGAATACCTGGCAAGGACTGATGCGTATTTATAGTTCAAAAAGGTTGCTGAACAGCAGGAACTCCCTGGTGAGGAACACCTTCCTGGCTGTGCTCTTGAAAGTTTGCCAAGATTGGGTGAATGTGTTCACTATGACTTTACTTGTAGTGGCAAAACCAAAAAACAGCCTGTATTCATTTATTAGGGGGCTTATCAGTAAAATCAGTGTGTATTCATATACTGTAGTCCTGAGCACCATTAGGAGTCAGGGAGCTATGATGAATCCACCTCCCATGCTGTTTAGGATATACAAAGAAATTAAAACAGTAAGTTACCTGGCCAGGCACAGTGGCTCACGCCTGTAATCTCAGCACTTTGGGAGGCGGAGGTGAAAGGATTGCCAGAGCCCATGGGTTAGAGACCAGCCTGGGCAACGTGACAAGACCTCATCTCTACAATAACCAAAAAAATTAGATGGATGTGGTGGCACACGCTTGTAGTTCCAGCTATATGGGAGACTGAAGTGGAAGGGTTGCCTGAGCCCAACAGGTCGAGGATTTGGTGGCCATGAGCATACCACTGCCCTCCAGCTTGTGCAACAGAGTGAAACTCTGACTCAAAAAAAAAGGAAGTTACAAAATTGGTGGGTGTTGCAAAGCCTCATCTGAGCAAATAAAGAGTGTGTGTAGGCCAGGCGCGGTGGCTCATGTCTATAATACCAGCACTTTGGGAGGCAGAGGCAAGAGGATTGCTTGAGCCCAGAGGCTCGAGACCAGCCTGGGTAACTTGGTGAGACCTTGTCTCTACAGAAATAAAAAACTTAGCTGGATGGGGTAGCACGCACCTGCGATTCTGGCTACTTGGAAGGCTGAGGTGGAAGGACCACCTGAGCCCAGCAGGTCGAGGCTGTGGTGGCCGTGAGCATACCACTGCACTCCAGCCTGGACGACAGAGTGAGACTCCAACTCAAAAAAAAAAAAGAAATTGGCCAAGGAAGTAGTCATCTGAATACTGAATACTTGATGGGGGGTAGAGTATCTGCTTTGAAAATGGCTCACTAGCAATTAGTGCCAGCTTATGAGAGGCTTCAGTTTCTTACCATGTATATCACCCCACGGACAGTTTGAGTGTATCCATGACAAGGCAGTGATTTCTCTCAGCGAGTGATGCAGTAGGGACAAGACAGAGTGCTTCAAAGTCTTTTATGACCCAGTGTCAGGATTTACACTTTTTTGGGGGTGGGGTCAGAGTCTCCCTCTTGTCGCCCAAGCTGGAGTGCATGGCATGATCGTGGCTCATTGCAGTCTGGACCTCCAGGGCTCAGGTGATTCTTCTGCCTCAGCCTCCCAAGTAGTTGGGACTATAGGCACGCACCACCACGGCCAGCTCATTCTTTTGATTTTTGTAGAGACAGGGTCTCGCTATGTTGCTTAGGCTGGTCTTGAACTCCTGGGCTCAAACAATCCTCTCACCTTGGTCTCCCAAAGTGCTGGAAATACAGGCATGAGCCACCATGCCAGGCTGGAATTCACACTTTCATTTCTCTGATACCCTGTTGGTTGTACAGATTAACTCTAGTCAGTGTAGGGGGGGGTAACTGTGCATGTATGGGAATGCCAGGAGAGCAAGGTTCACTGATAATCATCTTAGAAGTTAGCTGCTGTTGTCTGTCTCTGGCTCCTAGGGATTCATGGTCCTTTCACATGCAAAATACCCACTCACTTTGTCCTAAGACCATATCCTGTTATAGTGTCAGCTTGAAGTGTAGAATCTCATCATCTAAATTAGGTACAACTCAAGTGCAGTTTATTTTGAACTGCAGACTTGTGAATTAGAGACAAGTTATCTACCACTTGCACACCCAACATGCAGGAGTGAAGTAGGCATAGGGTAACCGCTATGGGATAATTACTTTTTAAAATGCGGGGAGAAATGGAAGATACATAACAGTCATTGGTCCACAGCAGTTCCGAAATCCAACAGGACTCAGGTTGGCAGTTGCTTAGGTAGGATTCAAGACCTGGGAATCAGCCGGGCTCGGTGACTCAGCCTGTAACCCCGTGCTTTGGGAGGCTGAGGTGAGTGGATTGCTTGAGCCCGCGGGTTTGAGACCCTCCTGGGCAACGTGGCGAGACCTCATCTCTACAATAAATAAAAAAAAATTAGCCAGGCGTGGTAGCGCATGCCTGTAGTTACAGCAACTTGGAAGGTTGAGGCGGAAGGATCCCTGGAGCCCAGCAGATCGAGGCTGCAGTGGCCAGAAGTGGCCACTGCACTCTAGTCTGGGCGACAGAGTGAGATTCCAACACCAAAAAAAAAATAAATAAATAAAAGACCTGGCAATCATTCCTTAAGTCTCTTGTCTTCACCCTCATTATCCTTTCTATATGAAAAATATCCTGTGTTTTCAACTGCATAATTGTCTCAACCTACTTAGCTGCCTTTAGAAATGTAGGTACCTAAAGACCTTTTTTCCTTTTTTTCTTTTTTTGAGTTGGAGTCTCACTCTATCACCCAGGCTGGAGTGCAGTGGCATGCTCACAGCCACCACACCCTCAACCTGCTGGGCTCAGGTGATCCTTCCATCTCAGCCTTCCAAGGAGCTGGAACTACATACACGCACCACCATGCCTGACTAATTGTTTGATTTTTTTTTTCTTTTTTGAGTTGGAGTCCCACTCCATTGCCCAGGCTAGAGTGCAGGGGCACACTAACAGCCATCCCAGCGTCGACATACAGGGCTCCGGCGATCCTTCAGCCTCAGCCGTCTAAGTAGCCAGAACTACAGGTGCACGCTACCACGCCCATCTAATTTTTATTTTATGGTAGAGAAGGGGTCTCACCTAGTTGCCTGGGCTGGTCTCAAGCCCACGGGCTCCCAAAGTGCTGGCATCACAGGCTGAGCCGCCAAGCCGGTCCTAATTTTTAGATTTTATTGTAGAGATTAGGTCCCACCAAGTTGGCCAGGCTGGTCTTGAACCCCTGGGCTCAGACAATCCTTTCACCTCGGCCTCCGGGAGGTGATTATAGGCGTAAGCCACCATGCCTGGCCCACTTTTCCTTTTATACTATCTCTGTCCCTTTCAGTCTACACTGACAATTCGTTGGTGTTTCTGACAATTCAGTTATTTTAAAACTTTGTGGGTCTCCTATGAAATGTACTGAGGAGGGTTTCACACCATTAGGTAAAAGCCATACCTACAAATTTCTTTTTTACTTTCTTTTTTTTTTTTTGAGTTGGAGTCTCACTCTGTCGCCCAGACTGGAGTGCAGTGGCCGCTCCCGGCCACCGCAGCCTCGACCTGCTGGGCTCCGGCGATCCTTCCGCCTCAGCCTTCCAAGTAGATGGAACTATAGGCGTGCGCTACCACGCCCAGCTAATTTTTGATTTATTGTAGAGATGAGGTCTCGCCAAGTTGCCCAGGTGGGTCTTGAACCCGTGGGCTCAGGCAATCCACTCACCTCAGCCTCCCAAAGCGTGGGATTACAGGCTGAGCCACTGAGCCCGGCAAATTTCTTTTTTTTAAGTCAGGGGTCTCACTTTGTCACCTAGGCTGGAGTACAGTGGAGTAATCACAGCTCACCGCAGCCTCACATCCTGGGCTTAGGCCATCTTTTTACCTCAGCCTCCTGAGTAGCGGGGACAATAGGTGCATGCCACCATGCCCTGTTTATTTTTTATTTTTACTTATTTATTTTTTGAGTTGGAGTCTCACTCTGTTGCCCAGACTGGAGTGCAGTGGCCGCTCCTGGCCACCGCAGCCTCGACCTGCTGGGCTCCGGTGATTCTTCCGCCTCAGCCTTCCGAGTAGCCGGAATTACAGGTGCGCGCTACCACGCCCGGCTGGTTTTTGATTGATTGTAGAGACGAGGTCTTACCAAGTTGCCCAGGCTAGCCTCGAACCCCTTAGCTCAGGCAGCCCTCTCGCCTTGTCCTTCCAAAGTGCTGGGATTGCAGGCTGAGCCACTGAGCCCGGCCTATTGTAATTTTTTTTGTATAGGCAAGGTCTCTCCATATTGCCTAGGCTTATCTTGAACTCCTGAGCTCAAGCAGTCCCCTTTCCTCAGACTCCCAAAGCGCTGGGATTGCAGGCATGAGCTACCAAGCCCAGCCCTCAATTTCTTAAAGATAGGTCTTCTCCCTCTGCTTCTAATAATCTTGAGCTTTCTAGAAGGCATATCTTTGATTGTTATTGCCTAACATCTTTCTGAGGTCTTAACAAAAGGTTTTGCAGCTACACTCTTGGCTTCATCTTTTTACAATGCTTTTGTGACAGTGCCCTGTATTTGATCTTTTCTTTTTTTTGTTTTTCTGCAGATCTCATTTTGTTGCCCAGGCTGGAGTGCAATGACATGATCATGGTTCCCTGCAGCTTTGACCTGGGTTCAAGTGATTCTTCTGCTTCAGCCTCCCGAGTAGCTGGGACTTCAGGAGGCTGAGGTGGGAGGATCACTTGAGGCCAAGAGTTTGAGACCAGCCTGGGCAACATAGTGAGACTCTACAAAATTTTTTTTTAAATTAGCCAGGTTTGGTGGTATGTGCCTGTAGTCCCAGCTACTTGGGAGACTGAGGCAGAAGAATCACCTGACCCCAGGAGGTCAAGGCTACAGTGAGTCATAATCATGCCACTGCGCTCTAACCTGAGCAACAGAGTGAGACGCTGACTCCAAAAAAAAATTTACACTATGACTTGACTTAAAACAGCAGTAAACATTTATTCTCTCACATAGTGTCTGTGGTTCAGAAGTTTGGGAATGGCTTACCTGGTTGGTCTTCATTTGGAGGGTCTCTCTTGAGATTGTAGTAAAGAAATATTGACCAGGGTTGCAATCATCTGAAGGTTTGGCAGATTCTGGAGAATCCTCTTCCGAGATAGTTCCCATACGTGGATGGTGAGTTGGAAATGACTCTTGGAAGGCCTCCATTCCTTGCCACATGGGCTTTGTCATGGGGCTGTTTGAGTGTCTCACAGCGTGGTAGATGGCTTTTCAAAAGCAAGTGTTCCAAGAGACCAAAACAGAGACTTTTTTTTTTAAGTCGGAGTCTCACTCTGTCACCCAGGCCAGAATGCAGTAGGACGCTCAGGGCCACTGCAGCCTCGACCTGCTGGGCTCCGGTGATCCTTTCACCTCAGCCTTCCAAGTAGCTGGAACTATAGGCATGTGCTACCACCTCCGGCTAATTTTTTTGTTTGTTTGTTGTAGAGACGCGGTCTCACCAAGTTGTCCAGGCTGGTCTCAAACCCCTGAGCTCAGGCAGTCCTCTCACCTCAGCCTCCCAAATTGCTGGGATTATAAGCTTGAGCCACCACACTGGCCAAAGCAGGAACTTTTTAAATGATCTAGCTTTTGAAGTCATGCTCTTTCATTTTTGCAACATCCTGGTGGGTGCACAGGTCAGCCCTCTTCAGCACGGGAGGAACTCTACAGGGGGCTGTGAAGTCTAGGAGGCAAGAATCACTGGAGTCCCTTCAGAGACTGGCTGCATGTCTGGTACTCCTGTCCTAGCACAGACCAGTCACGGTAGTTGGCGTTTCACATCTTCTAATCTCTGATGTATTAGGCTCTACTGAGAGTTTACCCGTGCTTTGCACATTCTGACAACATCACTGTGAAGTGGGGATGTCACCCTCCTGTTTTAGGAAATAGAGTCAAGTTGGTGGTAGGTGTGGCAGGGATCTACCACTGTGGTTTCAAGAGATTCCTACAAGGGCCAGAAAGTGGGGACTGAGGCATACAGACACAAAAGTAATGCGGTTTATGAGCAGTGGCTTATACGCGGGGATTTGGGCTGATCGCCTTTTCTTGCTCTGTGCCAGCGTGTCCGCAGTGGTGACTGGAAGGGGTACACAGGCAAGACCATCACAGACGTCATTAACATCGGCATCGGCGGCTCTGACCTGGTGAGAAGACTGCCTGCGGGTGGGGCGGGGGACTGGGAACTGTTGCTTCCACTCAGGGCCCGGCTTTCCCGACCTCTTGTGGGTCCTAAAACCTTATTCTCTGGTGCTGCATCCTTCCACAGGGACCCCTCATGGTGACTGAAGCCCTGAAGCCATATTCTTCAGGAGGTCCTCGGGTCTGGTTTGTCTCCAACATTGATGGGACCCACATTGCTAAAACCCTGGCCCACCTGAACCCGGAGTCCTCCCTGTTCATCATTGCCTCTAAGGTATGGGCTCTGGACATTGCCTGGCCCCCAGCCCTGTGTGTTGGGGTGGAGAAGGACAGATGCTTTAAGATTGCCCTGGGCGCTGGACACTCCTGACCAGTTGTGAGTGAGCCATGCTTTATGGATCCCTCAACACGCTGCCCTCAGACTATTCCCTGGTCTGGCAGCAAAGACGGTTGGCCTGATGAAGGCCCATAGGGGTCAATTGGAGCCTTTGTCTTCTGGCCATACCTACTCATTGTATGAGATCTCTGCTCAGTCTGAGGCTGTTCTCTACTTTCTTACAGATCTGTCCTTTACGTTTGCTCCTTTCTTTTTTTCTTTTTTCTTTTTTGAGTTGGAGTCTCACTCTGTCGCCCAGACTGGAGTGCAGCGGCCGCTCCCGGCCACTGCAGCCTCGACCTGCTGGGCTCCGGCGATCCTTCCGCCTCAGCCTTCCGAGTAGCCGGAATTACAGGCATGCGCTACCACGCCCGGCTGATTTTTTGATTTATTGTAGAGATGAGGTCTTGCCAAGTTGTCCGGGCGGGTCTTGAACCTGCGGGCTCAGGCCATCCACTCACCTCAGCCTCCCAAAGCGCGGGATTACAGGCTGAGCCACTGAGCCCAGCTGTGTTTGCTCCTTTCTGATCCCAGAGCCATGCCCTGATAATATAGAGGTTTTATTTGTTGTTGTAATTTTTTTTTTTTTTTCAGTTGAAGTCTCAGTCTTTTGCCCAGGCTGGAGTACAGTGCCATGGTCACAGCCACCCACAGCCTCAATCTGAGCTGGGCTCAGGCAATCCTTCTGCCTCAGCCTTCCAGGTAGCTGGAAACACAGGCATGTGCTACCATGCCTGGCTAATTTTTTGATTTACTGTAGAGATGAGGTCTCTCCAAGTTGCCCGGGTTGGTCTCTAACCCCTGGACTCAGGCAATCATTTCACCCCTGCCTCCCAAAGTGCTGGGATTACAGGCATGAGCCACTACGCCCTGCTTGTTTGTTGTAATTTATGCTCTGCTATTCACATTAATGCACATGAAAGTACCAAGAATTCTATCCAAATTCTGAGATACATTTGAGCCTGGGCTGAAGAGAGCCGCAGGCAGACTGCAGCCCCTCTCCAGGGGGATGCCTTGGCCTTTGACTGACCTGCAGAATTAAGGTGGAGGTTGTGGCTTTTACTAGGGTCATTTTTCCTTGGGTTATAAAGTGTTGGAATCACAGGATGATGCTGCTACTTCCAGGCCTCTGCCCCAGACATAGCCAGTCATCTTGGCTATGTGGACATGTAGGTTGGAGGTTATGTGGAGTAACTGTCACTGACCCACAAATATTGCTCTTTGTGACAACTGGGCATCAACATGGCCTCTCATGCTGAGCCCTGGCTTGAGGCTGCAACCGATCCTGAGCTCTGGGGCCAACTGCTGTACTCTTTGGTTGCAGACCTTTACCACCCAGGAGACCATCACAAATGCAGAGACGGCAAAGGAGTGGTTTCTCCAGGCTGCCAAGGATGTGAGTGAGCAATAGGACCTCCCTTGTGGTGGGGTGGGTCGTGGGCAGTGTGTAGATCAGGAAGAACAGGGCGGGCCTACCTGTCCTTGCATCTCCTGAAGTTGGAAGCAGGAGGTGACCTTTCTGGGACCTGCCTTTTCTGCTGGAGATGATTGTTCATCTTTGGCTTTGCCAGCCTGGTCATGCCAGACACACAGAGCCTGTGCCTACTGGCTGGGAGTCCTTTTGTGGCCCTGCAGGATCCTCTCAGCTCCTGGCTGCATCCATTTTATGGAAGAGGGACATTCCTGGGCCTGTTGTGAGGTGTGATGGGCAGTCCGGCCTGTGACCCCTCTGCCTTCTTGACCTTGACCTTGACATGGGCCTCCTTCAGTAGCCTCAGAACCGGGGACCAGGAATAGTCAGTTCCACACAGGGCTTTGGTTCCACTAGTGGTGGGAGGATCACTACCTTTGGATGGCTCCTCTGGGATGGGTTTCGTATAACTTGACTCTGTCTCTTGTAGCCTTCTGCAGTTGCAAAACACTTTGTTGCCCTATCTACCAACACGGTAAGTGCCTGTGTGGCCTCCTGTACTATCTTCCTGGGAGGGCCCAGGGCATGTTTGGGTCATGGCCTTTCAGAATACAAAAGCTGAGATGTGGTTCGTAGGTTTGGGGGATCTTTGCTCAGCTGAGGGTATTGAAGGGTTGGTTGCCTATTGGCTGCAAGACATCCTTGCCTGTCCTTTCTTTTTTTTTTGAGTTGGTGTCTCTGTCCCCAGGCTAGAGGTCAGTGGCACACTCATGGCCGCTGCAGCCTCCACCTGCTGGGTTCAGGTGGTCTTTCCGCTTCAGCCTCCCAAGGAGCTGGAACTATAGGCGCATGCCACCATGGCCAGCTAATGTTTGACTTATGGTAGAGACAAGGTCTTGCTAAGTTGCCCACTCTGGTCTCAAACCCTAGGCTCAGGCAGTCCTCTCACTTGGGCCTCCCCAAGCGCTGGGATTACAGGCTTGAGTCGCCGTGCCCAGCCCATCCTTGCCTTTTCTACATTGTCTCATTCGGTCTCTGCAGTGCCAAGGAGAAGTGCCCGGGGGGTCATGATAGCACCACTCATCTCTTAGGCCCGACTGGTACCCGAGAATCCGTACACAGGAACTCCTTGGCCTTTGCTGCCAGCCTTGCCCCAAGTGGGAGATGCTGGGTCTGGGGCTGCTTTCCGTTTGTCACATGAGGATATTAAGCCCCAAGAAAGGGATGTGACTTACAAGTTAGTGATGCCAGGATCAGAACCTGGATCACCTGCCTGCCAGTTCTCACAGGCTGCCTGGCCACGAGGCTGGATAGCGTAGGGGCGAGGAACCTCAGCAGGGCAGTGAGGGCGTGCTCTAGGAATGGCAGCACCCGTCACCCTTTCCTGGCACTTGCTGGGTGGCGGGCGCTGTGCTGAGCTGGGTCAGAACTGGGAACCACACTCAGGTCTGACTGACTGCACCTCCCTCCCGTCCCTTCCCCTACCTCCACTTCTGGTACTACCTTGCTCCCAGCAGGTTGCCTCAAGGCTGGCTCGCCACCATTGTCTGCCTCCTGCAGGCAGAGCTCAAACTGGTCAGTTGGGCTTCTCCTCCTGTGGGGACTAGAGAAGGGATTGCTGGCCCTGATGGCCGAGGGGATCAGAATGCCTGAAGAACAGGATCGGTTCTCAAGGCTTCCCGGCGCAGAGTCACCTTTCCAGATGTGGGTGGGGCTGGGGAGCTGTCCAGACTGTGTGTTGCCTGGCCTGGGAGGTGGCCCTTGTCCATATTTGGGTTCTAGCCCGAGACTCAGGTTCCCAGTGTCCTGAGGGGTCCTTTTCTGGTATCCTGGACAGGCCCAGGTGATAGCTCTTGCAGAGGAGTGTGTGGCCCAGGTCCTCACTCAGGATGTGCAGCGCCTCTCAGCAGGAAGCTTCGCAGGCACAAAGTCACTGCTGTGCTGGGGGTGGGCTGGCCTGGTGTCCAGTTCTGGGTGGGCAGATCCTGGGCCCTGCCCCTCCTGGAGCTCTGAGGAAGGTGAACAGGCTCCCATGGCTCGAATAGCATAACTCTTCACCTCCTGGAGCTCCTGTTCTTGTTCTGCTAACAAATACTTCTGTTTATCTCTCTCCCTTTTTTTTTTTTTTTTTTTTAGACCAAAGTGAAGGATTTTGGAATTGACCCTCAAAACATGTTCGAGTTCTGGGATGTAAGTAAAGGCTCTTCCTGTGCTGGGTGAATTATGTGTCCTTTGCCCAGTCAGGATCATTGAGCCATGGATGAGGGGCCCGTGAGATCAGGTTAGCATTTATTGAGTGTCTGCTGCATACCTAGCTTTGGGAAAGGCAGAGAACCTTAAAGAGGATTTTAGAGGGTGAGGGCAACCCACTTCTACCCGAGGTCAGGCCCAGCTTTCAAGACCAGGTGACACCCCCCTGGATTCCTGCCAGCAGCACCCACTGTGGGGTAAGCAGAGTCACCCCATCCCCTCCCTGAGCTGAGGTTGTGAGTTTATTCTCAGGGCTGACCTTTCTCTGAACTGCAGCCACAATCTGTAAATGCCAAAGGGCAGGGTGAGGCAGAAGGTGTGACCGGGTAGGCCTGGAAAGGAGCAACAGGAGCTACAGGAGCAGCTAGAGGGTGGCGGAGAGGAGATGCCAGGCTTGGGCCTGGGTGGGGCCAGGCCTGGGCAGCTTGCTGAACAAACTTTGCCTTGAGTGGCAGAGCTGCAGGCCTCTTTGTAGTGACACGTAGTCACATGGATTCACCTTTTCTGGAGCCACGCAAGGGGCAGGTGCTTCCCTTGTAGGCTTGCCTGATTCAGCTGTGGCGTGAGAAGGGCTGTGAGCTTGCGAGTTCTTGGCTGTGAAGGCTGGGGGTGCAGGGATGCAGTGCAGGGTGTGGTGTGATGGCTGTGAATGCAGTGGGCATGGCTGGACATAGGTGCAGTGCTCTAACACGTGGCTGTGGCAGGCACATCAAAGAGGGCATTGCCCATTTGTGGGTTTTCCTACTGGGGATGTTCCCAAGCCTTTAGGACTGGAGGTTCTTTGCTTAGTAGCAGCATCCACAGATGTAACCTCATTACTTTGATAGCCCTAAAGGCCTTTTTCTACCAGGGTCTTGGAGAGAAGCCCTAATGCCCTAAGCCATCCACTGTGTATAATGAGTTAACTTCTTTCTAGAATGGGACTAGTTATGTACCATCATTGGAAGCGTTTCCTGCATCCTGTGGCTCAGATGAGGAACCCTGGTCAAGAGAGACTGCAACTTCTCACAAATGTTGCATGCCTGATAAAGGAGGCACCTTTCACCTCCTCCTTGGAATCTGGAGCCTGAGCAGGTGTTGGGCAGCAACGTGTGGGTGCTCCTGCTAGCCAAGAAGCCCAGTAGAACAGGGCTTTCATTGCTCATAAGCACCCAGCATGCAGAGACGAGCTGGGGTATGGTTTAGGGAGAGGATGGGTCTCACAGGTAAGGGCAAGGAATGACTGTTGGGCACAGGAGCATGGGACCAGGGCCAGCTGGTGAGACTTGAATGGCCAGGGTAGGCACAGTGGAGGCCCCTCCTAGAAATAACACAGTTGCTGCAGGAGGGACCTGCCTGAGGCCCCAGGATGTAGACTGCTGAATCAACAAGGTGATGGCTAAAGAATCCAGAGACAGGAACAGGTGAAGTTTCTGGAGCTAGGATCTCTCGGGCAATTTAGAGAGATCAGGTCAGGCAAAGGGATATGGCACTGGCCCTGAGGTAAGATTGGAAGAGTTCAGACTGCTAGAGGTACGTATAAGGGGCAAGTCTCAGTCTGCTGGGGCCAACCGTGGGGCAGCCTCTGTATTGGGATTAGGCAGAGATGTGGTGGTAAACTGTGGGCTGGCTCTCTCAGGGCTCAGCTAGAGTCAGCACACATTGGTGAGCCAGTTTTGGCTGGGGAGGTTTGAAGAGGAGCCAGCACAGGTACAGATGAGTTCTGAGGCAGAGCCAGGTCAGGGAAAGGTGCTGGTGAGGTCTGAATTCTGGAGAAGACACAGATATTTAGAGATGGGTATATCAAGTGATATCTGAGAAGCCAAAGTCATGTACATACTTTAACATGTCTGTGTGGTAAGAGGTCTAGATCGGTGGCATGGGACAGTGATATACACTGGGGTGTCTCTGACTGATTCTGAAAAGTGAGACTCCAGTAGTAGGTTGCTGATCGCTCAAATGAAGTGTTTAGAACCCAGGATTAGGCAAACACAGCATCTTGAACATGTATGAGGGCAGAGCTCAGGATGTCACAGTGGCCTCTGAGAATCCATAAGTCTAGGTCTGTGGCATTGGAGTCTGGCTGAGGTGGGGTCTGGGGAGCCCAGATGAGGGACAGGTAGAAATGTACCTGGGTATAAAAGGTGAAAACTGGGGAGCTGGAGCAGGTGAAGCACCGACAGGTAAACTTAGGAGTTATGCTGGTAAGGTGTGATCTGAGAGGAGGCTCATGGTAGATAAAGGTTCAGAGACCCACGTCTGTGGGGTGAGATGTCTGAGGCCCAAGTCAACCAGACAGTGTTTGGCAACTCTGGATTCTCACCTGGCTCCTTTCAGGCTGAGGTCAGCAGCCAGGGATCCTTCAAGACGGAGGCAAGCAGCTGTTCAGGTCAGTGGAGCCGTTTAGAGCCATGTCTGTCTGAGATCTTGGAACTGGAATCAGAGAGGTGCGTTTGACTGGGTTTCTGAGAGGAGGCCTGAGGAAGCAAAATCAGGTGCATGTAGGTAGAATTGGATTAGTCAGATAGGGACATTGGAGCTAAACATAGGCAGACATAGGTAGAGTTAGGTCTGACAAGCAAGGGCTAAAAACCCATGACTGGGTCAAGGTCGGGACTTTATCCTCATGTTACATCTGAGCAGCTCTGGTCATGCACAAGGGGGTGTTCCTGGGTCCCCTGGAAGAAGACTGGACAGCTGGAGTCAGGCAAAGGAATGGAGGACTGCATCCATGGAAGGTTTATGCAGCCTGGGTCCATTTCAGGTTTGTAGAGCAGGACTGGCAGAATTGGTTTGAGGAGTTAAGGTGAGACATAGGTTTGTATTTTTGGGTCTCATAGGTTAGGTCTGAGCGGTTGCAGTCAGGCCCTGGTTTGCATCCCAAGTCTGCGAAGCTGGGTCAAGCACAGTGAGTCGAGTTTGTCAGGTAGCAGCTGTGAAACCAAGGGCAAGCAGGTAGGTTGGCCCTAAAGCCACAGTCAGACCAAGTCAACTCTGTCCTGCAGTTGGGGTCAGGCACAGGGTCAGATCTGTCAGGTAAGCTCCAAAGAACCAGGGTTAGGCTGATCTAGAAAGACGTATGAGGTCACAAAGTGAAGACAAAAGTAGATAGGTCTAAGTCTCTCAGGTGAGATTTGAGATGCTGGGATCTGGCGCAAGTGATCTTGGATCTGGATTTCCCAGGCGGTGTCCAGATAGGCAGAAAATGTCATCTCTTGGGCGAGGCTGAGGAGTTATGGCCAGGCACAGGTACGTGAGTTGCGTTTCGTGGGTGACGTCTGTGGAGACTGTGTCTGGCTTGGGCTTGTAACTTTGGGTCTGTCAAGTCTGAAGACTGGGTTTTCTACAGGTGATAGAGTTTGCCAGGTAAGGTCTTTGGAGTCAGGATCAGAGCAGGTTCACAAAACTGGATGTGTCTAGTGAGATCTAAAAAGTCATAGTCAAGCCCAGGTAAGAAGAATCAATCATGTTAGACGAGGTATGAGCAGCTGAGTTGTGAGGTACAGGTAGGGAATGCCAGCCCACCAGGTATAGTCTCAGGAGCCAGCATCAAGCACAGGAAGGCGGAGCTGGTCCGCCAGGTAGGCTATGGGCCCAGGGTCAGGTAGGTAGAGCTGGCCTGCCAGGCGTGGTCTCAGGAGCCAGATTTACGTACAGGCAGGCACAGGTAGATAGAGCTGGCCCGCCAGATACTGTCTGAAGAGCCAGGATGATATACAGGTAGGTAGAACTAGCCTTCCAGATGTGGTCTGAGGTCCATGTATGGGTAGGTAGACCTGGCCTGCCACATACAGTCCGAAGAGCTCAGGGTCAAGCCCACGTCGGTAGAGCTGGCCCACCAGGTGCAATGTAAGGAGCCAGGGTGAAGCACAAGTAGAGCTGGCCCACGCAGTGCGGTCTTAGAAGTCAGGATCAAGCCAAAGGTAGGCAGAGCTGGCCCACTGGTAGGCAAAACTGGTATGCATAGTCTCTTGAGGAGGCCTGAGGAGTTAGGGTTGAACACGAGTAGGTAGAGTTGTCTCTTTCAGGAGCTGGATTCAGGCAAAAGTATGTGCCCCTGGGTCTTTGTGGTGAAGCCCGAAAAACCAAGGTTAAGCCGAGGTGGCTAGAGTGGACTTTCAGGTCAAGCCCACAGCACTGGGGTCTGTACAGACAGGCAGAACACTGGGTTTCCTAGGAGGTCCATGGGCCCTGAGTTCAGCTGTGAGTAGGTAGATGTGTCTCTTTCAAGAAAGAACTTTTAAGGTATGTATACCTGAAGTCTTGCAGGTGAAGTCATTCAGGTGTGGTTCTGGGTCAGTTTTGTTGACCTAGGCCTTAGGCCTGGGGAGAAGGGGTTAGTCGCAAGTAGGTGGAACCACATATCTCAAGTGGGGTCCGTGGAGCACCGGTAGGCAGAGATGTTTCCATTAGATGAAGCCTGAGGCTCCACAGTGAGGCCATTGATGCTGAGGTTAAGCAGGGGCTGGTAGTGTTGGATCTGCTGTGAAACATGAAAAGTTGAGACAGTCACTGGATTTAGACTGCCAAGGTCAGGCTCATATAAGTAGAGCTGAATCCCCTGGAAGGGGTGAGGGATCTGAGTTGGGCTCAAGGAAGTGAACCTGGGTTTGTCTGTTGAAGTGTGAGGGGTCAGGGCTAGGCACAGGCAACTGTGTGAAAGCCTAGTCCCTCAGTGGAGATGTCTGGAACTGTCTTTGACAAGTGTGTAACTCTGCAGTGTGAGGTCCTGGAGCTGGACATGGGTAGGCAGAGCCGGGTCCCCAGGTAAAGCCATTGCATCCTTGCTCAGTGTTGTCATGTTTACCTGGCCCTGTCAGTGAGTCTGGATTCAGGAGATCCGTTTGGCAGAGGTGTATACACATGGTCTTAGGTGGGTTCTTGCTGCCTTCGGGCACAAAAGTACTCCTAGGAATGCATAATCGATATGGCTGACCAGGCCTGAACACAGTTGGGACCTT